GGGGCGTAGTAGGCAAATAGTACGAGTCTACCAGAGACATTGTAGTGGTCCTAAGACGACGTTAGTACAGCCGCATGAAAGCATGTAGTGCATCCATTAGGTCTTACCAGTGCTGCACAAGGGTGTTTTTATAGAGCCACGCCAGGCAGCTGACGGTACAGTGAGGCAACCAGGGAAGACCACTTGTCAACTATTTAGTTGAATAGGGTAGGTGTTCCAGCCCTAAAGTGATAGACGACAGGGGGATATGCAAGTGAAGAAGTAAGACATAAGATGAATAACAACAACGAGCAACTGAGGGTCAACCTTGTTGTGATGCATTCAAGTCGATGAAGGCATGAACAAGAAAGAGAAGGAGGGGTCTCACTGGGCAGTGTGAGGTTGTTAAATGTTTGAGGCCAGGAGGTCGACATCAACAGTATCCATCCGGAGGTCTCCAGACGGAGAAATCTGAAACACACGCCAAAGCTCCATCGTGACGCCAAAGTTCCGGCCAGCAGCCTGATCTGCTCAAGTTGAAACCACCAGGAGGGTTCAGGGCGGATCCATTCACGAACTGATGGCTCGTCGTGAAGAAGGAGACGCGAAACACCAGGATGGGGTTTCGTGCTGGCAGTCGCGTGGGAAGATCTAAATTGGGAAACTTTTGTGTTTCAAGCGCATCAATCGGGCTAGCCTGGCCTGCTCGTGTAGCCGTGTGCTCGGGAGTCAACATGGCTAGCGAGGATCTGGTGTTCTGGTGTTCTATATTCAGTAACACGCGGTCTGGAGAAGATGCTATTAATAACCCTGCCACGAAGCCGACGCAAGCGCTCTCGGGGGGGGGAGATAGCGCGGTTTCTTCAGCGGCAAGAAGAAAAGTGACAGCAGTATGAAGCAAACAATAGCAGATTGTGTCGGTATGATCGCCAGTACGTAACAGCCAAAGGAGAGAGAGAGCCTGGGCCAGGAGTTTGGAGGTAAAACGCCAAGGCCTGCACGAGTTAGGGCTCGCTGGCGTAAGCGCCGGGCTGCCCTGTTGATCGAAGAGTGGATAACGCCGCGTCGCGGAGCAGCAATCAGAGCACGCGCCTCGACAGTTTCAGGAGCGCATGTTTCTATTTTGATCGCGGGCGCGCATAGGCGAGAGACCCTGTTTGGCGTTAGACTGGCATCTGCATGGGCGTCACAGCGCTATCCCCGCTCATTGGCGGCACTGGAGGGGGGCTCTGAGAGACTGAAACGAGATATGCTCGAGAAAGCATACAGCACCAGGCGTGGATTGGCCAGCAGCTGCCAGAGCACTGGCGCCAGTGCAGTCCGCGAGTCAACCGGCTCCAGATCGTGCAGAATCTCGTCGACGATCGGATACTATACCGAAGTCTCCATCGCTGTTCGCAGTCCGGGAACGCGCGCTGGTTGGTCCGCACCGTGTTTCGAGCACTGCACGCTCGAAACACTCACGCGCACTGGCCCGTAGGGAAGATAAACAAATAATATATAAAACTAAAAATAAAAATAAAAATATGTCAATTCGTGGGAATTGAGTCTAAAAATAAAAATAGAAATAAACTATGGCTCGTTCGCGCTTGTCCCACTCTCGGCGTCACCCGCGCCGAATGCATCCCGAGTAATTACATACTACGTATGCATACGTAGTAAGTATCAGGACCCCTGAGTTGGTGTTTGATGTATTATTAGATCATATTATATTCCGGTTAACTATTCATCATAAAACAAAAAAAAGGTGGGGGAGGGTTTCTATAAACAAGACCCGGCCAGAACAAATGAGAACCAGGAGCCTTGGCCGACCAAGTCTATGTCGTCTAGTCGGGCATTAGCAAACAGCAGATAGATGGTATCGAAATTCCGTTCCCAGTTTCCCAAATTACTCATTCGTCTCGTCGTATTAGATCAATCATCATCCAATCGGTCAGCCCAATAATGGCTTGACGGCGTATTTCCGTCGGAACATGTCGTCAACTTCGGTCAGGTAATAGGTGCCCGGAGCCAGAGTTTCGGGGTCTCCGGCCGGCTTGAAGTTCTTCTTGAGGTGGGCGTGCTCACGGAGCAAGCATTTCTAAGAGAGGGGTGGTAATTAGCTCGTGCAATCGTGGAATCCACGTGCGAACAAGGTAACTTACAGCATCGTACTCGGACGGGGGTACCACGCGGCGGGCGTTCAATCGGTTCTGCAGGTCAAGGTTCTTGGCCAAGGTGGAGACGTCACCGACCACCTTGACGCTAAACATCGAACTGGCCAGACCACTGCCGTAGCTGAACAAAGCCACGCGCTTCTGCTGGCTAGGGTCAAAGGTAACGTTGGCCAGCATGCTCACAAGGCCACCGTAGACACTGGCGGTGTACATGTTACCGCACAGAGTAGCGACATCAATGGTCGGTTGGACACGCTCGGCGAAGCGCTTCTTAGCAAGACCCATGAAGGTCTTCTCGACAGTACGGTCGGTCAAAGACTTTTCGTAGTCGAGGTCACGGATCTCAGCGGGGACTTCTGCAAAGGCCGGGTGGGAAGGGTTGGCGAGGTAGTCGTTGTAGAGCATGCGAGCGTACGACTTGGACACCAACTTGCAAGTAGGCGCGTGGAAGAGCACGTGGTCGAAACGGTCCAGAGGGGTCTTGTCCTCCGTGACCACACCGTTGGTGCCGTTCTTCTGCTGCAGAACCTTCTCCCGCGCATTGTAGGCCTTGTAGCAGGCGTCGACAGCTTCGGTGTAACATCGGAGAGAGAAGTGGCCATCGACGACCGGGTACTCGCTGGTCAGGTCGGGCTTGTAGAAGTCGTAGGCGTGGCTGACATAGCTGCCACGAAGACCGGGCTCGAAGACAATAGGGGCATCGGGTCCGATGACCATGGCCACACACCCGGCACCACCGGTGGGACGAGCAGCTCCCTTTGCGTAGAGGGCAATGTCACCGCACACAACAATGGCATCGCGGCCATCCCAAGCAGACGACTCAACCCAGTTGATGCTGTTGAAGACGGCATTGGTACCTCCGTAGCAGGCATTGACAGTGTCGACACCCTCGACATTGAAGTTTCCGGACTTCTCGAACAGCTGCATAAGGACCGACTTGACCGACTTGGACTTGTCCAGCAAGGTTTCGGTACCAACTTCCAGGCGTCCAATAGAGGCAGGGTCGATGCTGTATTTGCGGAACAGGGACGAGAGGGTGGTCAGAGCAATGGAGTAGATGTCTAGTTGTCGTCACAGAGCTGTGTTAGCGCACGCCGCCGGTTCTAGCCCAGAGTATGCAAACACGTACCCTCACGGTCATCGCAGAAGCTCATCTTGGTCTGGCCGAGACCAATGGTGTACTTTCCTTCGCTCACGCCATCGAATTTCTCCAACTCGGACTGGTCGACGCACTGTAGAGCAACAATTAGCTTTCTTCTCCTACATGACACGTCCTCTGCAAGAACACCTACCTGGCTGGGGAAATAAATCTCAATGGCCTTAATGCCGATGTTCTGGGGGCGAGAAGACATGGTGACGGCGGGGTAGTATGCACACAGGGCAAAAAAAAAGATAACAAAAAAAAAGACCAGATATTTGCGATGCTTTTTGACCTCTTTTCTTTTTTTTTATAAGCAACCGTCTATACAAGACACCGGTTACAGAAGACTGCAGGAAGGCAGGAATAAAAAAAGACGAAGACGACGAAGAAGTAGGAAAGGAAGAAGCAGAAGCGAGGCCGGTGAAGCTGGAGGCAGAAATCAAAGGGGGCAAGAACGATAATCGGGGGGGGCGGTGGATCACCAGGGCACACAAGCCTATGATTCGCCAGCGTCCGCGGGGCCGCAGTAAATTACATTCTAGTAACGCTCAGTCAATCGTACCTTGGCTCCGTCTGTCAGGTGCTCCTATTTTTTTTCCCGCCGAAGCCTATGATATCCATACGGGACGCGAGTGTGCCCCGTCATGTTAGTGCGTCTGTGGCGAATGCAGTTATTCTGAAGCAGCAGGTGCGGGGGTGTGCACGTCCAACGTTTTGCTGACCGCCAGTCAGTCTTTATGTATGTATATCGAAAAAAAAAATCGCGTTTGCTTCTTTGGGGGTTAACATTTGGCTCCCCAGCGTGCGCGCTAATCCCGAAGCGGCAATATTGTGGATTCTAGCGCGTACCCTGTAGCCATTCAGGGGCCTGCGACGGCACACCGCCCCACTAGTCTGTTCTTGTATGGCAACTACCAGGGCCAGCATTGCATCTTTATGGTTGCCGTAAATATAAATGTTTTATGAATTGGTCGTTCCTGCTCTTGTCTGGATAGTATGCGAGTCAGAATACTTGCTTTCGCTTCCCGAAACTTAGCGGACGGCAGCTTACTGTGGATTCCCGGCCGACGGTGCATTACTACAAGAGGTATAGTGTTGCCCTGGGATAATTCTGATCTGATAGTCCGAGGTGAATAGTAATAAGATAAGCGAGGCAATATCACTAAGTTGCTCTATTTTTGCTGGAGGCAGAGCTTTGGGTTTGGATTTGGGTCTTATGGTATATGTAGCCAGTATTAAATAGAGAATGGTCAATTGATCTTGTACAACACTGTTTGCATATGCGTGGCTTTGATCGTTGGTGTCCAGGGCAGTTTTAACGTCACTGGCAACTAGTGTGATTGAACGATTTTATGGTTGTTGGATATATTACAATTTAGGTAATGGTGGTCACTTCAGTGTTGGTATTGAAGCGGCAATAACTCAATGATAAGGTTGGTTGGGTGCAATATATATATCTGGGTTATACATATCACGTACGATCGATCGATGCTGAAGGATGCAAGTGTTACATTAGGCGATGCATGTTTAATGGATTTCCATTGCAGAATACAATTACATGTAATACCACGAGTTAAAAAGGCGTTACAAATGCACGACAAATAGTACATCAATCGATGTCAGCTGGTTGCCAACTTGTCAATAACATTGAATGCACGGCACGATGCTACGCTTTGGTGCCTGCCATGGAGATGAAGCTATTTTCGACCAAACCGTTCAACCCCGCTCGTATGGCTTAGTTGGTAAAGCGCATGACTAGTATCATAATCGATTAAATCATGAGATCCTCGGTTCGAATCCGAGTACGAGCAAAATATTAAATTTTTGTCGTATCCACGTCATTATTTCCGTTGATGTATTGCCCCCCACATCCGAAGGGGGCTGTTTTATTTTTATTTTTATTTTTCTTTCTAGACTTGGATTGGTTGAAAGTCACCCGAAGCCCGCACCCGGAACAAAACCATACCGTCCCATCTCTTCACCACAGGAAAGCCCCCGACATCGACTAACCATTAACTAGTGCCAGTTTTATGACAAGGTCGGAACAGTAGCTTTTACACTAACTTGGCATGGCTTGTCTAATTGGCTTTAGTTGGCTTTGACGTGCATCGGTTTCTTTTTTCACTGTTAGCCCGTCGGCGTGATAGAGACGATGTGAGCAAAGAAGAAGAAAAAAAAAAAAAAAAAAAAAAAAAAA